TTCTACCGCTTATGAGTTTGGCTTGGTTCTGGGCGATGTGAGTTAAATGTCTTGCCTTTGTTGGTGTTAACATTTCTGGCCCTGAATAAGTTTCAAACATCTCTCTTCCAAAGTTCCCCATCTGGCTTTAGGCTAAGCTAGTAACCCCAAAAGACAACAGCCAAGATGCACGCATATTTCTGTATTTATCTATTGGCTTGGGTTCTTTTCAGCCAAAGCCTCGTAGGCACACGACGGCAAAGCTGTCAACGGATATGGCTATGGAAGATCTGTCGTCCGAAACCGATACCTCGGGAGGGGAAGCAGAGGATGCCGAGTGGGTGCCGGCCAAGCTTGCCAGAGGAATCAAGAAGAACATTTTGGGGGTACGGTTGTGTAGATGTGAAAAGAGGGGCCCGGGTTTTGTAAGCCTCCAGCCTCTGACCCCGTGACAACATGCGGTTGGAAGGCATAATTCAAGAGGCCGCGAGGATGGCTTTGGCACAGGCCAGGCCAGAAGGTGCATCTGCATCCGCATTTTCAGAAGGAAGGGATAGATATCACAACCGATTGCCAGTCCTCACCTCTCCTGCCACCACCCTGGCAGTTGGTATTTATTATTTATTTGATTTATATACCCATTTGGCAGCCAAGGCCACTCTACGTGGTTTATAACAACACACAACATAACAAATAGCAACATTAATACATAGGGGTGAAAATCATAAAGTGAAGTGAGGATAAAATTATAATACAGTAAATACAATTAAAAGCACAGAAGAAAATTGGTATTAGGAGTAGAGTTCAAAGTTAGTATCAGGAGGAGAGCTTGAAAAAGCTACCCTTGGAGACTGGCTTTCAGAATCTCCTGCCAGAGAGCCATGAGATCTGGCACCAGTAGATTCTGACAGCTGTTTTCCTAAAAACTCATTAGTCCAACATGAGTCTCAAAGGTAGGCTCCCTCGGGCCATGGAGTCTCCACTGAGCTGCCGATCTCCCCGATGAGTTTTGTCTAGCCTTCTCCACATTTTTATCACTGCAGTTTGGGTGCTGAGTTTACCAGGCTTGAAGCACCAGCTTTTCCTCTTCAACCTAGAACCTTTTCTGGCTTGTCGGGATTAAATGGAGCAACACAGCGAAATAATTCAGCAGAGACTGCAAGAGGAACCTTAGTTAACTGGCAGATTCTGAGGTCTCCCCGGAAGGAACAAGAAGGTTCTGTGTGGCTATTGACCACAGGGAAGGACCTGCGACCGATGGCCTTCCTCCTTCCTTTTGAGATGGTGGACCTTTGGAAGGCACCGTCTTCCTGCACACAACTGCTTCCACCGCCACTGCTTTTCTAGAGTACATGGTCTGCCCTTCCTGGGCTTTCCAGCAGACCCCTTTCTCCTCCGACATGGCCTCACTATCTTAGGAATGGCTGGCTGAGTTGTCAAAGCAGGCAAGAGGTCCCAGGCCTGGAAACGATCCGTGATCCTGGTGCTCAAGAGTGCTGCTGTGCTCCTGTGTTTGTTTATGGGTGCTTCTCTCCTCTCTTCACAGTGCACCTGCAAAGGCCGCTGTGGCAACAGGCAGTGTGGCTGCCGGAAGCAGAAGCTGGCCTGCTCGGAGGACTGTCGCTGTGAGGCCGAGAAGTGCCGGAACCGGGACAACGGCGTTTTGGTGAGTGGCTGTCGGCACGTCCCTCTCAACAAAGAAGTGGGGCAGGGGTGGGGGGCATGCGGCCTGGACCCTCCTGTCTGACCCTGCCCGCCACTTTTCATCACGGGAGTTCTGCCCTCACAGCGGAGGTTGCAGACAGACAATGGTGGTTGTAGGTTTCTCGAGCCATTTGGCTGTGTTCTGGAGGGTTTTTTTTCCTTCCTAACGGTTCGCCAGTCTCTGTGGCCGGCCTCTTCAGAGGACAGGAGTCAGAACTCTGTCTGTGCTCTGGTGCAGTTTGTGGGATCGTTGACTATTTGTAGCGGTGGGATCAGCTTTTGTCCTTTTCAGGAGATTGGGTGATTATGGTGATCAGGTACAAATACTTAACTATCCTACACCAGAACACAGAGTTCTGACTCCTGTCCTCTGAAGATGCCAGCCACAGAGACTGGCAAACCATTAGGAAGAACAACCTTCAGAACGTGGCCAAACAGCCCGAAAAACGTACAACAACCATTGGATCCCGGCCTTGAAAGCCTTCGAGAATACAGAGAAAAGACAGTTGCTAGCAGCCCTGGGCTGGTGGCAGGCCAGCCTGCGTCACGGAGGGACATGGTTGTTGAAACAGAACCGAAAGGGATGGCGGCTGGTGGCCCCCCCTCCCCTTATTGAGCCACTCAATGACAGGCTTTCAAGAAAATACTTAACTCTCGTTTCTCGGGTGGCCTACAAGCTTCACAGGAAGTGTATTTCCTCTCAGACATCCTTTGCTCTGTGTGAGATGGAAGGGGGAATGCATTTCCTGCCAGCTTCAATGCTCACCACTTCATTTTTAAATGCCTGGTGCCTGCCCATGTAGAGGTTGCAATATTTCTTTAAATAAATAAATAAAATATATCACTGGTTAAGTTGTAGTTGTAGAAAGGCTATCCCTGTTAGTCTGTGCAAGCATTATAGCTAAAAGCAAAATATAAATGAGTTTTTTTTTTAAAAAAAGGCAAAAATCTGGTGGCATCTTAAAGACTAACTTTTATATTTTTTTTATGTCAGTTTTTGTGGACAATTCCCTTCCCCGGTTTTCTATCTGATGAAGTGGACATGACAATGAAAGTTCACATTAAAGAACATACAAGCTTTTACGCCACAGTTCTTCGGGGTTTGCCTTCTTCCTTGACCTATGATCAGAGTTCTGTACTACGTGGTCACAGCTTTAAAGCGACACATTCTTATCAGCTTCGTCCTTTCCAGTTCTCTGTTTGTGGAAGAGTTCCGATTATTAACAAAAAAAGCCTTAAATGAGGGGTGGGCCACTTGTGACTGTCCAGATGTTGCTCAGGAGGGGCTGCACATCCCTCATCCAGCCCCTGATCAGGGGTGAGAAAAGCAGGGATTTGAGGTCCAACCTCTGGAAGGATGTCCTTTGCCCTCCCACCTGGTGCAGGTGAACTCTTTCTGGGCTGAACTGGGCCATGAACCTTTCAGGTCGCTCTCTCGTTTAAAATTCCAATTAGTAGAGGGGGCAGATACATGGTGTGTCTACGCTTGCAAAGCCCCACTTGTGACAAGTCAGCCCAAGAAGAGTTTCTTCCATACTTGCGAGGCTGTGGCAAGAGCCTCGGGGAAAGGCTTTGGCCTCCGTGGGACCGCCACGGAGAGCGTGGAACGGTGCATTTAGCAGCAGGCCCTCCAGTCCTGAGCCGTGTTTAGCTTTGCCCATTCACGAAGGGAGCACGAGCCGGGCTGGGGCCAGCACAGGGCCGGGTTGACGTGTGTCCTGCTTTGTGGTCTCAGGAGGGGACCCTCATGGACGAGACCGTGGGAGATCCCAAGGACAGCGCCTTCAATCTTGAAGACCCCACTCTGGCGACCGGAGGGGACACTTTCTTTGAGCCGCCGGCTGTGGCGCCTACCAGGAAGGTAATGCGGGTCGCAAAAGGGGAAGTGGAATCGAGTAGGAAGTACGATCCTGTGAGGATCTGTTGCTGAGATCCATGTGCGAGCGAGTGAGAGGTACAACTTCCGCTCTTCCTTTGAGCCGGATTGGGGGTGTGGATGGTGGAAGAAAGCAGTGCCTTAGCCTGTGTAACAGACCTTTTCTTCCTCCATTCCCACCCAACGTCAGGTCCTGGAGGAAACGGTGGACCAAGAGAACGTGGCTCCCCAAAATAATGGCGCCACCTCCTTCTTCAGCTCGGAGTCGGGCGAGAACCCACTGCCGGCCATCAAGAAAAGGAGGAAGCGGGTTCTGAGCAGTACCAGCGGGTTCTTCTCTGGCTGCACCCCGATCAAAGAGGACTTTGTGGAGGGATACTGAGCTGGAACGAGAGAGGAACGTAGCGCTCGGAACAGAGCTAGTCCTGTAGGCCACCAAGGTCAAACCTTGGGTCAGTTTTATAGTGTATAGATTTTGTTATTGTTGAATAAATGAATTTGAAGCATATCGAGGCACTGGTTTGCGCTCACTTAATGATTCTCCTTGAGCAGAACATGCCCTCCTCACACCATCTGTTTTCTTCAAAGGGGGTTGAGCTTGAGGAACGCAGCTTTTAGAGGGAGCGCTCTGGCTGGAACCTCTGAGAAAATTTAGTAACAGCTAGCCCCTCCTTTAAAAATCCAGATTATGAGCCAAGGGGCTAGCTTTTGTAAGGTCCTTGAAACCTCCTGTAATTTGTACAGACTGAGTTACAAACTTCTCACAATTTGTATAGACATGTGGGTGTGCGTGTTAGTAGTTGGGCAGGTTTGCTTAATGCATAGAGACATTTTGAGGGTGGAAACAGCTATGGTACAGCATCCCAAGCAGCTCTGTACGAGATGTGACGTGTACATAAGAGGAAAGGCGTGGGGGAAAAACGATAACACCTTGCTTAAAAGAATAGTAGCCCCACTCTGATGTTGGGAAGGAAGGAGCCTGGAATGCTAGCCCAGCGTGCAAACCCAGTGATAAAGCGACAGTTTTGTCAATGAATTGAATGACTCTTCTGCATCAGGTTGGGGCCTCCGTTGCAAAGCTTCACCCTCATTCTTTGTATCTCTGCTGACTGCGGATGTAATTTTGGCACATCTTTCCTTCCCACCTCCTCTGACACGCTGACATTTGTTGTGCCATTACTTGAAGTGTTGAACAAGCGTTGCTCCCATCCCACGCAGCCTCGTGCAGATGAGGGTCCCTAGCCATCATCGGTTACAGGCACCTCCTACACCTCCGGGGTGTGTGTGTGTGTCCTGCAGTCCCTTTATATAGAATGCTCCCTAGACAGGAGGCGGAGGATCCTGCCACCCCTGGCAGTGAGTCATCTTTTTCTCCCACCAAATACAAAACCTGGGGCAACTACAAGCTTAATTTGAGACTTAAGGTGCCGCAGAAGCCCTTCCTTGTCTTTTTTAAATACTTTTTTCTACCCAAGCTTGTAACTTGCTATGAGCCAATAACTCCAAATGCATTTTTGGTCCTCGAGCAGCAATCCCCGAGGTTGGGTCTCCAGATGTTTCTGCACTACAACTCCCAGAAATCCTAGCCAACACTGCTCATGAGAAAGGCTTCTGGGAGTGTTAGTCCAAGAACACTGGGGTGCTCTGTACAATAGGGAAATAATATTTTAATTGCAGTACATTCTCCATAAAGAGCTGATGTTAAAGGTGGTTGTATTTAATTTGATTGGCTCATTCTTGGGACCATCATTCTCTGACATGTTTATATTTCCTGTCCTTAAAAATATTCTCATCTCAGTTTGCTCTCTAAAACGTAGTTTCTGTCTCCTGTGCCTATTCGTTATTTCTCTGTTCTTACGCAAAACTCATGGAGCACTCTTACTCCTGCTGTTTCACGAGTTCTTTATGTCCTCATTTTTCATGTGAAAAGCTTACTTTCATATGCACTGGATTGTAAAACATCACACTCCTAATGAAAATAAATGTTTTGCTATATGTTTCCGTTCTAAATTCATTAACCGACACGGGGGTGTCTGACTGTTCTAAATTAAAACTGAATTTTGTCAATGACACTGAGATAGTACCTTTTGTGTGTGTGTAGCAAATATACCTTAATTGTCATATCCACGGATGTCTTGACTTTCTTTTGCGGCGGATTTCATCAGGGTAGGGAACGTGGCTCTCAAAAGCTTTGTCCTCCTTTCACACCCACTGAGCCTGCTCGTTAGGATGGAGGGAGCAGCAACAATATAGGAAAACACGCACACTCTACCCACTTGCTAGAAAGTTCAGAGCCACATGGCTGAGGTATTTGTCACCCAAGCAAGAGAGAGCCCAGTGCTGTGAAGGCTGCTGTTTGTCAAGAGACACTTGGGGTCAAACTCCCTGCTATGCCAGCAACATCACAATGGCCAGTTTCATCGTTTTTTGAAATCCACCACTGCCTTGGGATGGAGGAGTGTGTTTTCTTCCAGCGTAGGGAGAGGCCCTCCTTTTACCACACAGGAATGTGGCATGGGGACTCCCCTTTTTCCTTGTCCAAATCAAACATAACACAACCCAGCAGTTCCTGGAAATTCTTTCATGAAGACTGTTATAATACATAGCACCACTTGCTCAAGGAAAGAGTAGCTTTCAAACATAATACGGCTCGAAACAGGAGCACACTTTTTAATGCTTTCTTTGTGGAGGGGGAGGCACTGTTTTCTCCTGAAAGCATGCTAGTAATATGCATTAAAAGCATCTCCCCCATAACTCCTATTTCACAACTGGGTTATTTAAAAAAAAAAAAACTAAGGAGCTGGAGGAGGAGAGAAAACTAACTCCTATTTCACAACTGGGTTATTTAAAAAAAAAATAATAAGGAGCTGGAGGGGGAGAGAAAACACTTCTGTTCTTCCACAAATATTTTGTAAAAGGCTGATGAAAGAAGACAGTTTTGCTTCTGTGTGGCCTGATCAGGAGGTGCTCCTTTGGTTACAGATAAGTGACTGAAAAGCCACAGCAGTGTGACACTGACACACACACCTGCCATTGGCCAGATTACCCTCTCATCTGCTCACGCTCAGTGGTAGAACCTGGCAAAGTGGGTCTTTACAAGTCCCAGAATCTCCCAGCCAGCAGAAGCAGATGGTGATTCTGGGAGGTGTTTGTTTAAGAAAAAGGAAAAAAAAGAGAACTTTTCCAAATTCTGGCCTGCAGCACTAGCTAGAGCAATAGAGCAAATACATGCATGCACTGAAGCTTATTCTTGCCCCAGCCCATGGGGAGGGGGGAGGGGTGGGGGTCTGAAGCGTTCTCCCCAAGCCAGAGGTCCACCCGGCCTGTCAAAGTTGATGGGAGATGGGGGTGGTTCTGACTTCTGTCAGAATGCTCTCTGTCTGGCTTCCACCCTCCCGAGTTCAGGTCTAGAACAGACAAGAGGAATGAACGGTGCAACTTTCTCTCCCTGTTCTTTCTCTCTTGAGGGTAACTTAACACTCGCCTCTCTCCTTAGGGACCAAACAGCAAAGAGGTCTGTTTCGGGAGAGGGAGTCCCTCTGGTTTCTCCCTCCTCTCCTCCTTCCAGGCTGTAGAGACAGCACAAGGGGAAGGTGCTCCATTAGAGCTTGGAAGTCCACCGACACAGCACGTGGGTCCAGCGTTCCGTGGCCTTGACGGAGTCGTCCCTTTCCACCAAGGTCTCTGACCCACACACCCATTTCAGTCCAAAGCAACGAGAAAAGCGTTTGGGGGGAGGGCAAGGCATGGCGCTGCCCTCATTCACAAGGCATCATAATCGTCGTCGTCCTCGTGTTTCCGTTTTAAGGCGTTTGACTCGCCAGACGCTCCCTGGGACGAGACCATGTTGGTGGCGATGAGGATGTTCTTCGAGCCGATGAGAGAGGGATTGATCAGCACATTCTGGACGGTCGGCGTCGTAGGGGCGGCTGGGAAAAGGGAAAGAGGGAAAGGAGGAGGTTTTATTTGTATAGCGTTTGCACAGCAGAGGCAGGATTTCTGAAGGAGTAGGTTGAAAAGGCGGAAGGCAGCAGGAAAAGAGGAAGACCCAATACGAGATGGACTGACTCCCTCAAGGAAGCCCCAGGCTTGAGTTTGCAAGAGCTGAGCAGGGCTGTGGAGGACAGGAAGTTTTGGAGGGTGCTTATCCAAAATAAGTTGTCATGTGCTCTCTAGTCGCTTCCTATGTATTAATGACCTCCAAAGTGCCCGACTGTTTAGCAGCCCTGCTCACATCTTGCAAAATAAAGCCATAGCTTCCCTTTATGAGTCAATCTACCTCCTCTTTGGTCTTCCACTTTTCCTACCGTAACAACAGACAAGCAAGAATCAGAGTTCTCTCTCCTGCTCTCTCCTGTTCTCACAGTCTCATGATGTTCTTGCCATCTGCCATCCTAAGCTTTGCTCCCTACATGGACGGGATAAAAAATGGAATGAACAAATAAATGAAATAAAAATGGGATTTGGCGTCTGGTACAGATTCCAGATTTTACCTTTGACCGTTTTAAATAATAACACTTATAACGGCAATGTTTCTGCCTCCTACGCCTGTTCCTGGAATGGAGCGTGAGCCTTTAGCGCAAGGTCTCGCCTGCCTGGAGGCAAGCAGTGGGTGACATACACACACAAACACACCCACCCAAACAGCTCCCTCTTCACACTCCTTCAGGACAACCTCTGCAGCGGGGCTCAGATTTTTCTGAGGGTTTCGTAGTGGACATCAAGGCCTGCCTTGCAAAGCCTGACTGGGAGGTACATGTCAGTGGTGAAAGAAAAGCGACTCAAATAAAACCACCCATGCAAGCTGGCTAAAGAGGAATTCTTCCCAGGACCTCAAGATTCCTAGCAATACCATATCCATTTACTGTGTTTTCCCAAGAAAATTTAGCCAGTCTCCATGGGTCATTTCATTTAGATTTCCTGGACGAGGACCGTGTTCCTCTTGTTTTGATGGACACAGAAAAACAAGCAGGCCAAGTTCTGCGCATCAAGGGAGGAAGCAGTCCAGGCCAGTCCCCCCCCCAGAAAAAAATGGAAATTTTCAGAAACAAAACAACCTTTTCCCCTCCTGTTTATTCCTGGAAAACTTGGAAATTTTTGAAAAATGAAGAGAAATTTCAGGGCCTCTCTGGCTACAGAGATGCCGTTCTCTCTTGTCTATGTCAGGTCCCGGGAGCATGTCGGCTGAAAACCTTGCCCACTTTTTGACTGGTTCCTTTCATGCAAAGGGAAGTGATTAGAGAGAGAGACAGACATTTTACCCTGCCTTTCTCCTTTCAAAAGGGGGCCAACGTGGCTTATATCTTTAAAACACAATATTTAAAGGGTAAAAACAGTCCATATACAAATGTTTTAAAAGAATCAAACAAGTATCATACTAAGGGTAGATAAAATTAACACCAAAGATGCATACAAAGCCACAAGGCGCAAAAATCCATTAAAACACTTCTCCCAGGCAGCCCGTCAACTCAGGGAAAGCCTGCCTGAAGAGAAAGGTCTTTGCCTGCTTGCAGAAGGACAGCAAAGAGGGGGCCAGGCTGGCCTCCAGTGGGAGGGAGTTCCAAAGTCTGGGGGCAGCCACAGAGAAGGCGGCCCTCTCTAATGTCTCGCCACCAAGTGCATGTGTGAGGATGATGGGACCAAGAGAAAGCCCTCTCCTGATGATTTTAACACCTGAACAGGCTCATAAAGGGAAATGCGGTCCTTGAGCCAGCTTGGACGAAGCTATTTATGTTACAGGTCAAAACCAGCACATTGAATTGTGCCTAGAAATGGATCAGCAGCCAGAGGAACTGCCATAACAGGCAGAGGGGTGGTGTGATCCTTGTAACTAGCCACAGTAAGCCATCTGTTATTAATTGCATTTGTACACCGTCTTTTTCCTCTAGGCTCTTCTCTCCCCACCATTTCCTGAGAACGACCCTGCGAGGTAGGCCACTCTTACCTGATTTTACCGAGGTCTGGGACGTGGGGATCTGCACCGTGAATCGTTGGCCCGTCAGCGAGACGGGGGTCCCGACTTTAGCCGAAACAGACACCGCCTGTGATGAAGACGTTCCTAAAATTCACGAAACAAGGTTTCAGTTTAAAAGCAGACGTGGTCCCATTAGAAGCCCAAGAGAAGATAGCACTGGAGAAGCCAGCAAGAAGGGAAAGAAAAAGGGACAGGGAAGAGAAGGGAAGGGGGGAAAGCACTGTGCGCAATCCTAAAACTAAGGATGGATTTTCTGATTCATTCTCCATGCTAGAACACCTGAACAATTTATAGGCACCAACATGTGGCTCTCCTGGGGAAAAGGCTTACCTTGGAAGTTTTTGAGGTTTAGCTAGGCCTAGCTCTGCTGAAGCTCCCTGCTCAGAATGAAAGCTCCCAGCTAGCACTGGGGCAGGAACAGGAAGTTTGGGTGGAGCTAGGCCTAGTCAAACCTCCTGATTAAGATAATTGACTCCCCCAGGAGTCCTACAAAGGTTTATAGACTTCCCAGGCAAAGGAACTGATTCTATCATTGCTGACATTATCCCAGGAGAGGGTTAATCCCAGCATAAAACCAGACAAATAGTAAACAAGCTTTTGCCAACTCTTCTCATCTGGGTAAGTGTCTTCACTGCTGCAATCATTCCAGGCAACTCCAGAACTTGTTAATTCTGTACAAGATCTATTTATTTGCATCGTCTCTGGGTTCCATACTTAAAAGTAGCAAATCCAAAAAAGCATTGAGGACAGTCTTACAGTTGGGAGAAAAAACCCTTTAGGCACACACGCTTAAATCTAAACATCATACAGTCATGTAAAACAGTGAGCTGAAAATATTGTAGGCTTGCTTAAAATACGTTCTCACAACTTGTAAAGCAGATGCAGGTATCGAAAACTTAGGTTACAGATGTAACACAGTCAGCTACGTTCAACTATGTTATACAGTGGTGCCTCGCATTATGATTGCCCCGCATAACGACGAAACCGAATTACGACGTTTTTGCGATC